ATTTTCAATCTCTTCCTTTCTATTGGCTCTTTCCCACATGCCTACAAACATAACTAGATTCTCCCTAACCCTAAAAAAAGGCTTTGTTCAGTCTTTCAAACCCATCTAGCTACTATGTCATTTCTTTTCGAGAGACCCACCCTTTCACTGCCAGAATTCTTGAAAAAGCCATTTACAGCTGAGGCTTCTACTGCCTTACCACATACTCTCTCTTCACTCCCATCACTTCGTTTAAATTCCTTTCTCAGGTCACCAGTGACCTCCTTATCACTAAATCCAATAGTTTTCAGTCCACATCCTTCTTGACCTCTGGGCAGTTTTTGAAACTGACCACTCCCTTGCTATTAAATACTCCTGCTTCTCTGTTTCAGACATTCCGCACTTCTGTTTCTCTTCCTAAGCTGATAACTACTCTAATTCCACAGCACTTTCATACCTACCCTTCCAGATGGGTGATCACTAACATTCGATCCCCAGCCCTCTTCTCTTTTTTCTCTATAGTGACCACCAATCTCACTAGTAAACATGGCTTTGGCTATCACTCTGTATAAACCCATGTTTCTCCCCTGCTATCCCTGAGCTTCACTCTTCTGAGCTCCAGACCTGCATTTCCAACTGCTTAAAAGACCTAGCTGACCAACTAACCCAGCAATCCACAAGTATTTCTTAAGTGTTCCTCTGCTCAAGGTACAATCCTCCTATGGCACAGGTCCAGTACTATCATCCTGGTCACTCTCTCTTGGATGTCCACACTCTAGTGTATCATGGTCCTTCTTCAACACAGTACCAGAAATGAACATGGCCCAATCAGGCAGAGTACAACAGAACTATCACCTACCTTATCTGAACATTACTGTTTCCATTAAGCCTACATTCAGGTTGGGCAGCTAGGTAGCACAATGGATAGAGCACTGGGCCTAGAGTCAGGAAGACCTGAGTTCAAATCCATCCTCAGACACTTACTAGTAGCGTGACCCTGGGCAAGTCACTTAACCCTGTTTGCCTCAATTTCCTCATCTATAAAATTAGCTGGAGAAGGAAATGGCAAACCATTTCAGTATCTATACCAAGAAAACCCCAAATGGGGTCATTAAGATTCAGATACGACTGAATAAGACCAACAAATTCAGGTTAGTTTTTTTTTTTTTTGCCTGCCACACCACATTGTTGACTCATATTGAGTTAATAGCCCTCTAAAATAATATTTGTAAAGCACTTAGCATAGTGCCTGGCACATGGTAGGGGCTATATAATTATTCCTTTTCTTTTCCCTTCCCCTAAAATCCCCAGTTCATATTCATACTAATCGTTGGTTAGGCAACACTCTGCCATGGTATACATGTGTAGTTGATGTTTTTTAAACCAGATAAGACTTAACATTTAATGTGGATTAACATTTATCCACATTAAATTCCACCATCATAGATTCAGCCTATCCTTCTAGTCTGTCCCAAACCTTCTGGATACTGATTCTGCCATCTGCATGCTTACTCCCACTTCCCAGCTATTCACCTGGAAGCTTGATGAGTATGCCATTTATGTCATTGTCCAAGTCACTGATAAAAATGTTAAACAACATACCGCCAAGCATGGATTGCTGGGGCACTCTACTGGAGACCATCTTCCAAATCTCAATCTTCCATGTTCAAAACTCAGGTTGTAACTCTGCTTCTCTAGCCCTCACCACCTCCCCTCCCATAGACCCTATTGACTCTTCCTTCACAAAGTCTGTCCAATCTGTACTATCCTTTTCATTCCCAATACCATCTCATCAGCTACCACATCCTCCAAATCGGTCTTGCTGCTTCTACTCTCTCTTCCATTCTTCACACAGCTACCAGATTAATTTCCCTTATGCAAAAATTTTATGTCACTCCCTAGCTCAAAATCCTCTATAAATTTCTAAATTTCTAAAAATCCAAATAAATTTCAAACTCTTTAATGTGGTCTTCAAAGGTATCTCATTAGTAAAATACCAATTACTTGAGGGCAGGAGCTATCTAATTTTTGTCTTTTCCATAAATTGTAGTGCACTGTATTCAAGAGGTATTTAATAAATGTTAGCCAAACCGAATTGAAGGCTTCAAAATATAGTATCTCATGCCCCTCCTCCCCTTCACATACTCGAAATTCTAAATGGAACTCTTCAGATCCTTTTTTTCCTTCCTCCATGAAGATGCTCATGTGATGCTCTTCATGCCCCCAGTGCCATCACCCTTTCCCATTTCTTTTTTTTTTTTCTTTTTGGTGAGGCGATCCAGGGTTAAGTGACTTGCCCAGAGTCACACAGCTACTAAGTGCTAAGTGTCTGAGGTTAGATTTGAACTCTGGTCCTCTTGACTCCAAGGCCAGAGCTCTATTCACTGTGCCACCTAGCTGCCCCCATCCCTTTCCCATTTCTGCCTACCTACTGAAACCCTTCTTATTCCTTTAGGTCCAGCTCAAATGCCAGCTCTTCCAAAAAGTTCTGTCTAATGCCTCTCTTTCCTCCTACCTCCCTAGACTTCACATGGCAACTTATACAAGTACCATATTACAAAATAATACATGTTATATGTCCTGCTCCCCCCTACTGATTAAAGGCAGGGGCTTCATCTGACCTTTGTATCTCTCCAGGACCACACAGTGTTTTGCATACAGTGGTGTATCATAAACATTTTCTGAATCGAATCCCTATCTCTTTCTTCCACCTCAAGGCTCTCTCTTTTATATCTGCCAGCCAGCTGCTACAGGCCTCTTAGTTACTAGGTAAGATTGTTGACAGGCAGTAACAAGAAGGAAGTAGAAGTCACCACTAGTAAAGTATCTGTTTACCCCTCATTCTGGCACAACATGCTCAAGTCCCCCAGCACTGGACACCATGGCAACCAAGGTGATGTCAGGCCCACTGTCACCATGGGGATGAGGACTAATATTTAGGTCATCAAGACATTCTCTCCCACCCTGGGGAGACCGAGACAAGAAAAGGGCTCATACCCCAGCATCCTGGGTTCCTAGTACCCTGACATATCTTGGAGTAGCCTTCTGGAGTCCCTAGGGTTCCCTTCTGTGCAGCATCCTGAAGAAAGTCCCTTTCTCTCTTTGGGTATGTTTCTTCATCTGTAAAATCTCTAAGGTCCCTGAGAGCTTCAAATCCTATGATCTAAGTTTCTTCTACTGTCTAACCTTTGAAGCAGCATGATAAAAATACAAAGAGCCCTGGATTTGAAGTTGGAAAGGCCTGTATTCAAATGCCACACTTAACAGCTATGGGGGAAAAGAAATCACATCCGAGCCTCAGTTCCTTCATCTGTAAAATGGAGATAAAAATACTTTGTTGCACCTAACTCACTGGGTTATAGTGAGGAGAAAATGAAATAAAGCATGTAGAGAGCTCTGCAAACCTTAAAGAGCTATGTGTCAACCATGAGTATAATCAAACCTCCATTTCTCCCTTGTTCTAACTTTGAACAGGATTTCTTAGTTATAAAGAACCCAAGAACCTGGATGTTATCTAGGTCAACATGTACCTGACAAAAATCCCCATTTTCTTTCTTCCCTCTGAGTCATATAATAGCGTACTCACTCACACACACACTGCTTTAAGGTTTGCAAAGTGCTTTCCAAAATATTGTCTAGTTCTGACTCCTAACAACCCCAAGGAGATAGGTGCTAGAATTATACCCACTTTATAAATGAGGAAACTGGGGCAGAGATCGCTGAAGTGTCTGAGGCAACACTTTAACTCACGTCTTCCCGAATGCAGCTCGTCCAGCATTCCAGCCACCCCGCCAGTGGTCATCTCTTCAGGGAGGGGTGGTGGAAGCCATGAGACCTCCTGGGTCGAAACACCTGAAAGACCGTTTCCATGAGAAGGCAGGGACGGCGCTACCCGTCTTTACAGGCGGGGTCGGGCGGCTTCACCTGTCGTCCCTGTCAATCTCTCCATCCCCGCGTCCTCTGGCCAGGGCCGCTTCACTCTCTCCACTCCGCCCACGGGGAAGACTGGGGGGAGGGCAGTGGGGGGTGGCGGGGTGGACCTCGAGTAGAACCCGCCCCTCCCTGCGAGCCAGCAGATGCCCCCGGGCACCCCATTCTTCCCGCCCCTCGCTCCCCAGCTACAGGACATTACCTGACCCAGCTCCAAAACGACCTCGGTCTTCGATCAACCTGCTCTTGCTACCGGATCCCCGGGTTTCCGGCCTCCAGTGGAGGGAGGGGCACGTGACACCCCAAGGACCAATGGAGAGGCTGCTCTCCGGCCGAGGGAAAAAACTTTGGACCAATGGGAGAGGGAGGTGAGGCGGTGGGGCCGAGAGGCCTTGGCTCCCGCGGTCAGATCCGCGCAGGGAGGAAGGCCGAGAGCCGGCCTCGAGCGCCATTCCCGGCCCCCAGCCCAGGTCCGAACAGGGGCCTCGGGGCTCACAGAAGATGGCCGCTTCCGGGGCCAAGCCCCAAGCCAGGGCCATGAGGCTGTGACCTGCCCGGGATGGACGGGGGCAGCTGAGGTAGGATGGGCAGAGGGAGCGTGTGCTGCTGCCGCCCCCCCTTCCCTCCTCCTCCCAGCGCAGGGCAACCGAGCCTCTCCCCTCGCCTCCGGGGCCTCGGCGTCAAAACTTTGGCTCGAGGCCCAGCCCCGGGAATGAACCCAGAAAGGAAACTCGCAGTCCATTTCTCACGACCTGGACAAACGGGGAGCGGGCAGGCCTCCTGTGGCTCCACCGCCCCGTGGGAGCTGCGCAGCAACCCCGCATTCCAGCCTCTAGTTCATGCGCCCTCCAACCAGGCTCTTACTCTCCATGGCTGGTACAGATACAGTTCCCAGCTCCTGGGACAGAAACCCAAGCAGTGTGAAAAAAAATCAGTCGATTACCCCGTGTTCTCCAGCAAGGTGAGGGAGTGGGTAAATGCACATAGGAGACAGTAAAGGGGTCTCAACAATACTTGAGGCTTGCAAGCGGTTAGTGGAATTAGAGACACCTCACCCACTATTCTCCCAAACACAAGTCGGAGATCTAAAGTCGTTTTTCAAGTCACTTTATAAATCCAACCATACAAAACGACCAAAGGCTCCACCAATGCCATTCCACCCTACTCTTAGTGGATGGAGGGGGTGGCACTTTGTAAAACAGGGGAAAGAAAATGGAAGGGAAATGCACAAAAATAGCAATAGATAATGGGAAGGGACACCAGAGGCAAACCAAAACATAACACAAAATTTAAGTGTGGCTGTCCATCCATCTGCCCTCAGTTACTTCTCATGTTTTGTTTTCATTGTTCTTTTTTTCCAGGGGAAGAGGAATGGGAACACAGGTCCACTCTCTTCAGGAATTAAGAGCTTTGAGTATTGGCAGAACAGACAAGAAACTTAGATGCCCAGTCCCCTTGCCTTGGAGTTATCTTATCCAAGTGCTCTGGAACTGAGGAAAGCTGCTAGGGTACCTTGCTGAAGGAAGGACCAAGGCATCTGGTTAAGGAACAGAGGGGAAAAAAGTATCTTGGTCCCTTTACATTATTCCCTCCTCAACGAAAGGACTGAATACCCAAAGCTGGAGGCTGCTAATTCCTTCAAGATGACTAAACCTCATCCCCAGTCACTAACGGGGAGCTGATATGCAAGCTGAGGGTATCACTTGGGTGGGGAGAGGGCAAGCAAGGTACCCACATACCTCAGAACCAGTGTGGGTTAACCAGAAATGCTTTATGCTAGGCAGTCATCTATCTCCATCAGCCAAGTGGCTTTATCAACAGAGAAAACACATTGTAAAGGGCTGATGAGAATCAGATTTTAAATTGCTGGATCATTATTAAGCCTTGGGAGATGCTGAGGGGCTGGGGAATGAAAAAGTATGAAAATACACAATGTTTCCCTTCCCCCTCCCCCACAAAGATTCCAAGATTGGGGGTAACCCTGCCCCATTCAAATGGGTAAACCTTCACTTTTATCCTATAAGAACACCTGAAATAAATGACTGAGAAAATTGTTTGGGTGTCTGTTCTTTTCTTGGGCTCTCAGCACAGTGATGACACAGGAGCTATAGGTAAAAGGGCAGATTTGAAAAAGGTGGCTTAGGATAATGTATAGGAGATGTACAAAGTCTTGGGGGTGAGGAAGCATGACATGGACCAGGAGATGAATAGAGTGAAGCTGGGGAGGGAGGGACTTATGACTTTGGTATGAGGAGGGGACTGTCTCAAGAATATCATCTCTCAACCATTCTGATCCTGCTGCCACCAGAATCTGCAGGAATGTTATGGTTCAGACCTTCATCTAGCTTTCTCAAAGCCTTTTGGTTCCAAAGGACAGAGGCCAGTGGAAAGGGGATAGTTCGAAATAAGGGATGACCCTGACCAACTGGTTCCACTCATTGTCTAATACTGTCTTCTGCATTGGGCTAAAACCCTATGGTAGGCCACTGAAGGAATGGGGGGAAAACCCTGACAATTATGTCTGGACAGAGGGGGAAAATCATTCAGGAATTTATCCTTCAGAGTGAGGCTGGGTAGGAGTGTTAGGCACAGATACTAGAAGGCATCTGGCACCAGCAAAGAAATGCAGCCCCTAACCAATAATATCCACTCATATCCTACTCCTCTATCCTTTCCTCTTTAAGATACCCTGGACAATCAGAGAATGGCACTGCTCACTGGGGCTTTGGCCTCCCAGGGGATTCTTTCTTAGCCCTTCATGGGCAAGTTCCAAGGAGAGAGGTCTTGGCATTCTCCTAGCCTCCTCCCAGCATGAGTAGGGAGCTGGGACCAAGAGCCACAAGAGGAGAAAGGTCCATGGTCCTCAAGGAGATTGCCTGGCCCCACACCGAATGTGCCCAATTCACCCATCATTGGCAGCCACTAGTTGCCCCATGCCCTCTCGAATGTAGACTGACTGGATCTCCTTGGTCTTGAGGCAGAAATCACAGGCCCAGACAGCTGAAGCTTCGGTGGTCAGCAGCCCATAGGCATTCTCTGTCATGCCAGTACACTCTCGATGGAACCACTTCTGACATGATGCCTCACACAAAATGGCGTCCTGGTCATCATTTACTTCACTCCGGCATGCCCCACATGGGTACACCAAGCCTGGAGGGGGCTGGTGCCCCGATGCCCCACCAGTCTTATTTGGAGGTGCCAAGCTATTGGCATCTGGGGTGCCCCCACCCCGACCACCACTGTTCTGGGGGAAACTGGGCTGGTTGCCATTGACAGCAGCAGCAGGTGAGCCCGAATGAGGCTCCTGGGGGAAGGCAGTTGCTGCAGGAGGGTTTAGGGGCTTCCCTCCATCCTCTCCCCCGGGACCAGGGAAGCCAGGGTCAGGACCAGGGAAGGGGCTCGTGTTGGGGGGCAGACTTGGGAGCCCTTGACCAGGCCGCTGAAGGGGTGAGGGCCCAAAAGGAGCACCTGGCTGGGCAAATCGTTGGGGAAGGGAAGGAGGGCCCAGCTCCCCTCTGGGTGGCTGCCCCATAGTAGGTGAAATCATGGGTCCGAACCCTCCCACAGGGCCTGGCATCATTTGTCCCCCGGGAGGGCTAAAGTTCTGGCCCAAGGGCTGGTTAAAGGGCTGGCTGGGGAAGTTCATGTTACCTGGGGGTGGGTACCCAGGGCCCTGAGGGGGCATATTGAAGGCAGGACCCATTGGATTGGGGGGGAAGGGAGGTGGTTGTCGTCGAAGTGGTTGAGGCCCGCCTCCGCCTCCACCACCATAGCCTGGGGGCACCTGGCCTGCCATGCCCCCTTGAACACGAAATCCACCAAAGGGCACAGGGCTGCCAAGGAATGGAGGAGCTGCCCCCCCCAACCTTGGGGGCCCCAAAGTCATCCTCAAATGGGTTGGATGCCACCAGGTGATCCACCATGGGGGTCGGGGGTGGTGCAAACTCCGTCAGGTGCGAGTAAGCAGGGCCCTAGGAAGGGGAAGGACAAAGAAGGGGAGGGGGTGTTACAGGTGAAAGAATAGAGGAAACCAAAGGCCTGGAGAACAGGAAGAGAGATCCAGAAATACAATTCATTTACAATAGAAGGGAACAAGGGACTATGGGAACAATAGAGAAAATATGGTAGATAGGGAATGATCCTGAGTGTTGACAAAGCCTGACCAAAAGGGGAACCTTTGGTCAAACCATGTCTCTTAGCTCACTCATACTATAGGATTTAGAGTGGGAAGGGGCTTTTAAATAATTAAACCCAACCCACTTCAGGGTAAGATTGAAGGGGTAGTGAATGGACCAAGAAGAGATCTATAAAATAGTACCAATAGGAACTCCTCCACCTCTTCTCTTCCTATACCTGGTCTAGGGAACAGATGGGAACACTAAAGCTTTAAAGTAGAATAGTCATATGAAAACCAAAATCTTGGTATCCCTAAGGCTAATGGAAAAAGACGATCACCCCATCTAATATACAACATTCACCTGAGTATTTGACTTGCGCCGTTTCTTTTCTGGGCTCTTCATTTGCAGACCTGGGAGAAGGAAAGAATGGTTGAGGAGGACAAGTCTCCAAGACACTGGTAATCTAGGCCTCCTAAACCCCCTTCCCCAATGCCATGCCCTGAGTCACCAAATCTCCTTTGTCACTAAGCCTCTTCCCTCAATGGTGTAGGGTCTATGTATTGCTCCCAATCCAGGCATAGCTCTTCTCCCAACTCCCATTGGAGTTGGGATCCCAGGCTGAAGACTATAAGAGAGGAAAGGATGAAGAGGAAGAAAATTCCAGGCTTAGTCTGGGATTTAAAGGAGTGTTTCAGAGCTTCAGTTTAGGACTCACTTGATTCCTGACCCCCGGATGCTCACTAAATAGTTCAGGCCTAAGTCTCTAAGACTAAGGATCTGGCTAGAGTTCTGTAGGAGCTGGCATGCATTTCAGATTGGTCCCAATCAAGGGCCCCCCTCAATTTTAGAAGTAGGTCGACTCCAACGACCTTAGGAACCCTGCTAGATCCATGGCCAGCCCATTCTCTCAGCAACCTGGATGCAGAGGGTAGCATCTCCTATAAATCCAGATGCCTCTGTACCCACTGTCCTGACCCCCTGCAATGTTCTGTCCTCTTCACCTCTTCCTTTTAGTTTCCCTGACTTTCTTTGAGATTCAGTTCAACCATTCCCAATTAATACATGGTCAAAGGATATGAACAGGTAGTTCTCAGAAGAAATCAAAGCTATCTATAGTCATATGAAAAAATGCTCTAAATCACTACTGATCAGAGAAATGCAAATTTGAAGAACCTGGAGGCACCACTTCACACCTATTATATTGATTAACATGATGGAAAAGGAAAATGACAAATGCTGGAGGGGACAGGGAAAAACAGGGACACTGATGCACTGCGGGTGGACTTGAGAAATGGTCCAACCATTCTGGAGGACAATTTGGACCTATGCCCAAAAGTCTATAAAACTATGCATACCTTTTGACTTGGCAATACCACTACTAGGTCTATACCCCAAAGAAATCAAAGAAAAATAAAAAGGACCTATTTGTACAAAAATATTTATAGCAGTTCTTTTTGTGGTGGCAATGTATTGGAAATCGAGGGGGATACCCATCAACTGCTGAATGGCTAAACAAGTTGTGGTATGCTATTATGATGGTATGCTATTTTGCTGTAAGAAATGAAAGGAATGGTTTCAGAAAATCCTGGGAAGACTTATATGAACTGACACAAAGAGAAGAGAGCAGAACCAGGAGAACATTGGAAACAATAACAAGAATATTGTAAGGATGATCAACTGTGAAAAACTTAGCTACTTGTATCAAGACAATGATCCACAACAATTCCAAAGGACCCATTTTGAAAAATGCTATCCACCTCCAGAGAGAGAACTTATGAACTCTGAGTGCAGATTGAAATATCTTTTTTTCACTTTATTTTTCTTCTGGGGGTTCCCCTCCTCCCGCCATGACTAATGTGGAAATATGTTTTGCATGACTTCATATGGGTATCATATTTCTTGCCTTCTCAAAGGCAAGGAAGACTGAAACTGAAAATTAAAAAAACAAAAAAGACTCAGCTCACCCACCATCTTTGGGAGACCTTTCCTGGGTCCCTCAGCTGCTAATACTACCTTTCAGATCACCTCCCATCTTCTTTGTATATGCCTGGTTGTTTATATACTGTCTCCTCCATTAGAATATTTACTTCTTGAAGCAAAGTATTGTTTTTTGCCCTTTTTTGTATCGCCAGTGGTTAGCAGAGTGCCTAGCATATATATAGCAAACCTTTAATAAATGCTCCTCGATGGCCACACCTCAAACCCTACAAATCCTTTCCTGTGACTTCTACCCCCCACCCCCAAACTTCACAGGAGCAAAGAATGAGAATTCCAAAGGATCAGTCATTACAAAACTGTAAAAACAACCCCTTCTCAGTCTACGAATCCCCTAATCCTTCATATACCTCAATTTATAATGCCTTCTGGACTCCTCAAACCGTGAGTCCCCCAAGCCCAGGAGCCACCTACACCCACCCTAATCCCTAGATCCACATCACAACTCTCATGCCGCTGCCCTGGAAGACTCTTCCAAACCTCCGATCTCTGAGTCTGCTATCATACACGCTTCCACCTGGAGCCTCAGATCCCTCAGCACTAGACCCCGAAACTCAGGCTGCAATACCCACCTAACATTAAACCCCTTAGCCTAAGACCCCCCCCAACCACCCTCCCATCTCAGGTTACTCTACCTGGGATCCTTCCTATGCCTTTAAGCCTCCGCGTAAGGCCCCCCACCCCGGGCTCCTCTTCCTGGACCCCCTCCTCATCCCTAGCCCCCTGCCCCCCCGCTCTCACCGGCTTTGCCCTGCTTTCTCCCGGTGCTGGGCGGCGCTGGTGGCGCGGCGGGGCCGCCTCCTCCCTCCAGCTTGTCAGGGGGGGGCGGCGCCGCGGCGGCCATGGGGCGGGGGCGCGGGTCAGCAGCGGCAGCGGCGGCGGCGGCCGCCGGGACGGCGGCGGGGGGGCAAGGAGCCCCCGGCCTGCACCATCTCCCAAAGGGGGGGATCAGGGCCAGCGCAGGCCCCTGGGCGGTACCATCCTGGGCAGCACGAAGGAGGGAGCGGGCCCCAAAGTGGATAGGAAGCTCTCTCCCGACTCAACGCCCGCTCCCCCGCCGCTAGGACCGGAACCGGAACTTGGCCCGGGCTCCACCACTCCAACTCCGTGTAGAGGGGAGAAATAGACAAGCAGGCGGAAACCAGGACTCTACCATCAGCACAGAGCCCCGGGAGATGGGAAGGTCCAGCCAGGCCTGAGCGTACCACAGCGCTCGCATTCTCTAGCAGACTATCATCCTGGAGGAGTCAGACCCGGCCGACTTGGTGTCCAGGGCCTGCGAGCGCGGAAAGCCACCCATCCACCCCTCCTAGTGATGCTACCCCCAGAGATGAGTACAGGCGTCACACTCACATCCACCCACCCCTCCCGGGGGTGCTACCCCCAGACACACGTACAAGCGTCACTGTCACACTCACATCCACTCACCCCTCCCGAAGGTGCTACCCCCAGACACACATACAGGCGTCACTGTCACATCCACCCGCCTTTCCCGGGGGTGCTACCCCCAGACACGAGTACAGGTGTCACTGTCACGCATCCATTCACCCCTCCCGGAGGTGCTACCCCCAGACACGAGTACAGGCGTCACTGTCACACTCACATGCCTCTCCCGGGGGTGCTACCCCCAAACACGAGTACAGGCGTCACTGTCACACTCACATCCATTCACCCTCCCGGAGGTGTCACCCCCAGACACGAGTACAGGCGTCACTGTCACACTCACATCCACTCACCCCTCCCGGGGGTGCTACCCCCAGACATGAATACAGGCAGCACTGTCACACATCCACTCACCCCTCCCGGGAGTGCTACCCCCAGATAGTACAGCCCTATCACACTCACAATCATCTACCCCTCCTACAGTGATACTATACCCAGACACATATACAGCTGTCACTCACACTCAACCGTGTCACAAACCCATCCACCCCACCTACAGTGGAAACTACATCCAGATATACAGCTGTGTCAGCATCACACACCCATCCACCCCTCCTAGCAATACTACCCCCAGACATAGACAAAGCCACCTATCACACACACAATCTTGTCACACACATATCCACCCCTCCTACAGTGATACTACACCCAGACACAGTCACATCACTATCACACCTGCATTAATACCACAATCATATATACAACCATAAATATCACTGCCACATATGGTTCCTATCCCACACCCAGACACACAACCATATCACTTATACCCATCTGCCCTTTCTATAGTGATATTACAGGCAGACACAGTTTCAACAATGATACTACACCTCTAAATCCCTTCTACATGCCAATATCCTTCTGCATATAACCATATCAGTATCACAACATATCCAGACATAGTCATAATACACACAGCCATGTCGCTATCACAAATGTATTAATTCCACACCCATTATTACTTTAACAGTATATCCCACCTTGACATCACTCCTACAATAATAAACCTAGACACACACATCATATCAATATGACATAAGACGCAGACATCCCTCCTACATAGCCATACCACATGCAGACATGTTCACAGCATATTGTTTGCACCCGAACAAGTATCAACATCTCATCCACACATCCTCTGGAGTAATACAACACACACTAACACCCATATATCCCTCCTATCACACTAACACAACTACCTACCACAAGTTTATCAAACAGATACATACAAGCCCAAACATAACACATACACATTCCCTTCACTTGTACTTGAGGTCAGAGCTTGCTTTCCTTTCCCCCAACCCCAAGCAGGCCCCAAAGAAACTGAAGAAAGGCTGTTGGATCAAAAGGGAGACATTTGATAAAAGAAATAATGATCTTTAATGACATTTCCCTTTGGTATAAGTGAGACCCGTGAATAGATTCAAACAAAATAAGGGTAGGAGAGAGAAATAGAAGAGGAGGAGATAAAGATACAGTCAACTCTCCATTATCCACAACTCCTCAGGAGGAGTGTCTTCCGTATTCCTCACAATTTCTAGCAACAGCTACTCAATAAATACATTGATTTGAATGATCCCCTCTGAGGCTTCTCTGCAGCAAAGTTAAAAATTCCAGCCTTTTCCCTAGGCTAGGATGAGGTCTAGCTTTTAGTCCTGGCGATTTACTGGTTGTGGCCTTCCATGATCACCTAACCTTCTCTATGCATCAGTTTTCTCACCTGTAAAATGGAGATAATAATGCCTGTGCTACTTATTTCACAGGCTTGTCATGATGGTAAAATGATATAATAGATGAAGTCTCTGAAAAAATGAAAAAAGTGCTGTATGTATAAAGATGAGATAACTTTTGTGCTCAAGCAAGACAAAATCAGGAAATAATTCGGTTGCCAAAACTATAACATTCCCAAACTAAATAAAAATTACTTGGGGATTATCCACTGCTATAGATAACCATTACCCCTCAAATTAATGCAGAAAATTGAGAGTTGACTGTATAGAAGAACCAAACACTGGATTCACTGTCCAACCCAAAGGAGTTGGAGAGGCTACAAGGGGCTACACTTTGGCTGTAAAGTAGGACAATGTGCATGCAACGCTGGGGGTGGGGGAAATGGATGTTTACGAAATGTATATACAGACCCCTAGAGTAGGGGGCCCCGGCCAGGAGGCACTCTGTGTATGTGGCAGAGGGGAGAAATAGGGATGGGACATTCACCTCCCCCTGGCCAGGAAATGGGGTTCTGGGATAGGCTCTCAGGATTGAACATCCTCTTTGAAGAAGGGCAAACAACCATATCTGCCCCTAGTCTCCCAAGCCCAGTCTGGGAGTACCAGGCTAAGGAAGGGCTGGGGGACAGGATCCTGAGGGCAGATGCAGTATCATCATTTCTAGCCCACGGGAAAACTTTGCATAAAAACTTATTTAGACCTGGCGCATGGTCAAAGGCACAAGGTTTAAACACTGGAGGAGGGACAGAATTTCATCCCTTTGAAGAAAAATCCCATTCCACTGGAACTGTCCCTAAGATTCCTTTCTCCTGTTAGGGGGTCTTGCCCAGGCCCATCTGAGGGCCGTAAGACTGACATGGGCACTAATACTCTGGTGGAGGAGAAGAAAAATTAATCCCTCCTCCAGGTCCTGAACCCTAGGATTCAGGCCACTCACAGATACAACAGAGTGCTGTAACCAGAGCATTTTCCCCCAGAAAACTGTTGGAACTGGGACCAGAAAAGTGAAAGGGAGTGTCCTGGAGGCTGGAACCGGGTTGGGGACAGGATCAGGTCAGTTACAACTTCCGTTCCACCGGCTGCTGAAGACATAGCTCACTGCCTGCAGAGATGATGGGTAGGTGATTGTCCATGTGGTAGCTGATGAGGTGACTGACACTCTCGAATCGGTGATCCTTTGTCCTAACCTGGAGATAGATGATATAGAAGTTCAGACATGAAAGGCTTTTTTTGTCTGGGTAGGTGGATGGTGGTGGGAGAAGGCAGTTAGAAGGATGGTTGAATTAGATGGAAAAGCGTTCACCTCTCTATAACTGAAGAAGCTAAGGCACCCAAGAGAAGATGGAGAATGTTAGGAAGAGAGGACTGAGGCAACTGGGATGATGAGTAGGAAAGGATGAAAAGAATGAAGAAAATGCTTAAGACTGGGGAAGACCTGGGTATCAAGCCAACAGCTATTACTGAGGGATCCTGGTTCTTCTTAGAAGAAAAAGGATAGTGATGATTTTAAAACTGAGGAAGGATAAAGGAAGGGCATGCCTATATTGCAAACAAAGGCCTGAAATCATTATCTATGAAATAAATTAATAGGAGTGGCCTAACTTGGGTAAAGATAAAGATACATATTAGCAGAGTGGAAGGATTTACCTACTTACTCTCCAGAGGGAGGCACAGTAGAGGAGGAAGAAACAGATAAATATTATGGGAGAAAAATGATTAACAGTTCTAGAGAAGAGCTAAAGGCATATGTGTACCTCTGTGTGGTCTAAGGATCTTATGGAACCGTGCAAGGTGGATTCTTGATAAAGAGAGTGTATGTGGGGAGAGATAATGGAATAGTAGAGGAATTATGGGAAAGAAAACATTGGATCTTAGAGTTAGGAGACTCTGGCCCTGCCACTAACTAGCTGTGACCTTTACTTAGCCTCTTACCCCAAGTCCTGTACTCTTCCCACTGTACCACCTACACCCCACTGGCCAAAATAATAAAGAATCAAAGAAATTGAGACAAAACAATCTCTAAAAGTCTGTTCCAGAATCTGACCAACATAATGACCAGCCACAATTCCAGAAGACCCATGATAAAACATGCTACCCAGCACCTGATAGAGAAGTAATGGACTCAAAGTGCGGTGGCTTGTTTTTTTTTTGTTTTTTGTTTTTTTACATAGCCAATGTGAGAATTTGTTTTGCTTGACTATACATATATATAACAGATATGTTGTTTTTGTTTTCCCAATTTTGGGAAGAGGGGGATGTGGAAGGAGAGTGAATAAGGACCTAAAAACAAAATAAAATTGAATGTAAGAAATAAAGTCTTTTCCAGCTCTAACATTCTAATATCCTTTTGTTTTTAAGTGGATACAAGCTAGAGGGAACAGACTTATATGTTAGGCCTCAGAACCGTGTTGAGGTTGGGCAAAGAAACAGCCCCAAGCAGATGGAACTGGTTTGTCTCAGAAATTAGTAGTGGAAGAAATGGGAGTTAGGCCACCTCGAGGGGGAAAGGTGGTAGTAGAAACAATGGCAAAGAAGAGCAAGGTCTCAGGATGGTGACAGAATGCCAGACCCCACCCACACCCATCCACACATCCATAAACTTACCACGCCTTCAGGATCAACGAGCAGCAAATGTTTGGGCTGGCCACTTTGCAGGCCAGTAAGGACATAC